CAGTGAGGTCAAAGATTTAGATGTTAAAAAGAGACACCATTAAAGTACTTGAAGAAATCATAGGAGAATATTTCTAAAATATTGAGTTAGGGAGTCTTTGCAAAGCAAGAAAAACGTCATAAGAACTAAAAAGAAAAAGAATGATAGATTTGACTATGCAAAAATTCAACAACTTCAGTATGGCAAAAGATATCTCATGCAAAGTTGAAAGATAAAGGATAAACCAGGAGAAAGTCACAACATAGAAGGTGGACAAAGGTTTATTATTCATAATATTCCAAAAGCTCCATAATAATAAGTATATTACTTTCCTTATAGCACTTACCATGATCTACAATTACATTATTTAGCTATTTGTTTGTTTATTATCTATTTCCTCTATTTACATGTCAGTTTCATGAAAGCCAAGGCTTTGGTTACTCACCACTGCATTCCTAGTGCCAGAATGGTGCCTGGTATACAGTAGGTACTCAGTAAATGCTTGTTGAAGGAATGAGTGAGTGAGCATCAATAGATCAATGAGAAGCTGAAGAGGAACAATCCAGTAGCAAAATGCTCAAAGGATAATGAATAGACAATTCACAGAGGAAACATGAAGGGCCTATGCCATATTAAAAGATGCCCAAATCAGGCCCGGCATGGTGGCTCACACCTGTAATCCTAGCACTCTGGGAGACTGAGGTGGGCGGATCGCTCAAGGTCAGGAGTTCGAAACCAGCTCTCTCAAGAGTGAGACCCTGTCTCTACTAAAAAATAGAAAGAAATTAATTGGTCAACTAAAAACATATAGAAAAAATTATCCGGGCACGGTGGTGCATGCCTGTAGTCCCAGCTACTCAGGAGGCTGAGGCAGGAGACTCGTTTGAGCCCCGGAGTTTGAGGTTGCTGTGAGCTAGGCTGATGCCAGGGCACTCTAGCTTCGGCAACAGAATGAGACTCTGTCTAAAAAAAAAAAAAGATGCCCAAATAAGTAATATTAAAAAAATGCAAATTAAAACAGCATTGAGATGATTGAAATGTCATTTTTCACCTCTCAGATTGACAAAAGTTAAAAAGATCGTTAGAACCCGAGTTTGAGAGGATGTAGTGAAACAGGCACACTCAGTCACTCTTGATGCACTAAATGATACTCTAAATGAGTACAACTGGAGAGCAACTGGAAATGTCATTTGACTCAGCAAATGCTGTCTTTGGAGTTTATCCTTTTGCAATGTTCCCTGTGTAAAGGTGTTCACTTAAACATTATTTGTAAATAGCCATGGATTGGAAATAACCTAAATGAATTCAGTGAAGGACTGGTTAAATCATTTATAGTACATCCAAATAATGGCATACTGAACTTCACTATGCTAATGATTAAGCATTTGGGCTCTGTAGTTAGACTGCCTAGGTTTGACTTCCTCCTCTAGCCCTTATGAGCTATGTGACCTTGACCAAGTTTGTCAACCCATCTGTGCCTTGATTTTCTCATCTGTAAAATGGGAGAAATAATAATACTTCCTTCATGAAGTTGTGAAGAGTAAATGAGATAATCCATATGAAATACCTGGCACAGAGCATTCAATAATTGCTACTCATAACTCTTCCTACTACTACCATAATGATGACAATGATGATGTAGCCACACATAAGGATCTAGATCTTTATATGCAATGATACCTCCAATATAATATTGTGATAAAAGCAAGTTGCAGATGAGTAAGTATGTAGAATCTAAGGCTTAAGGGTAGTATATGTTATACATAGGAGAAAAGTCTGGAGGGTTAGATAGTCAATAGTGGTTATCTCTGGGGAATAGGATGGGAGATTTTCACTTGAGCAATGATTAGAGTTGTTTGAAACAAGCATGTGTTACTCTTATAATAAACAAAAGATGAAAAGGGGAAAAAGCTCCATTTGGAATTCCGAGGACAGTTAATCCCACCAGGCTTCACATCCTCCAGTGCTTGGCCACGGCCCAAACGCTAAGCCTCCCTGCCCGTCATCTGTCCTTTCCCATACCATCCCCATACTGCTCTGTGCGCCCATCCCCACCACCCCAGCCTTATCCATCTCCCCACTGCTGCGCTCTCCCACTCTTCTCAGTACCTGCTGGAGGCCCAACCTTGCGGTAAACAATTCCCCCTACACGACGGCTAAACTTCACAGAGCACTGTTGTCTACCTCCAGGCCTGGAAGTTCTGAAACCTGAGTCGCAACACAGGAGCTCACGGCTTTGCCGGCAGCTCCCTCTAGTGGCCACTGTCCGCACTCCCACATCACAAGCACCCTAGGGCTGGGAGGTGGGGTCTGTGCTCTAGCTTCCCCTGTTTGCTTCCAGACCGTTAGTCCTCCGTCCTCAGCCAAGAACTCCTCCTTCTCATGCCATCTGGCTACTTCTCTCCTCTCCTCTCCTCTCCTTGTTGACGCTTCCTTTTAAACGACCCCCTCCTGGTCACCCCCCACCCCTACATTCAACGAAGAGTTCGACATCTGGCTCACTGTCTTCTTCTTCACCCCAAGTCCTGACATCATTCTGGGTGAGTTTGACATTCGTCATCCATGTGCAGGACACACCCCCATCCTAGCTTTGTCATCAGTCAGAAGCCCCCGCCATCTGCATCTGGCTGGCTCACCTCAACGCTTCTTTTACCTCAGGAAGATCTCCAGGCTTTCGAGCCCCCTCCATCCATGCTTTGACTTTGTCAGCCCCTCCCACCTTACTCCCTCCCTTCTCTCTCCATCCTTGAAAATGATGATGATAAGAATAACAGTGAATATGTATGTGTCAGGCACATACTACACATTGTTCAATAATCTTATGTTATCCTCACAATTCCTTGATGAGGAAGGTACTATTGTACTTTTTAAAAAATGAGACAACTGAAGCTCAGAGAGGTTGAGTGACTTACCCAAAGTCCCACAGCTAGTTCGGGGCAGAGATGAGATCTGAAGTCAGGTCCGTCCACCTCACTCGTGGAACACAGTGTTTGGGATCTTGCCTATATCCCAACTCTCTTGCCCTCTGTCTTTCTGCCACATCCAAGAGGCGAAATCCTGAATCTGGATAAACTTAACTGACAGTTTCCTCCTCTGTACTTACACCCAGATGGAGGAAGACTGCTGGAGAAAATCCCATCACTTTGTTGATTAGTCCCACTAGAAAGTCATAGTTTCCAACCTCAGTGGGGCCCAGGACTCAGCTAAACAATCCTTCTAAGTAACTATCCTTACAACAGCACTTTCAAACTTTCTCCACTGCCCTCTGGAGTCAGACTGTCTGAGTTAGAGTCCTGCCTCGGCCACTTCCATGCTCCATACCGTGCCAGCCTTTAAGGAAGGGGGAGGGGGAGGAAAGGGATGAGGGGAATGGGGAAATTATATGTATTGAGTGTCTTTAGGTATCAGCCACTGTGCCAGGTGCTTTGCATGCAGTATCTCATTTAATCCTCCCAGCAGCTCTGCAAGGGAGATGCTGTAGTTATTCTTGCTTTACTGAGGAAGAGGCTGAGGCACAGAGAGGTTAAGTCACTTACTAAGATGACACAATTTGTAAGTGGAGAAGCCATCCCATTCGTTTAGACCCTCCTTATCTTGAAGGATTACTGCGACAGACTGCTAAACAGTCCCCCTGTTACCTAGCCCATGCCCTCTAGTCTACCTTCCATTCTCTTGCTGGGACAATTTTCCTAAAATGTACATCCGGCTGTGCTACTGCCCTGCTTAAAGTCCTTCCAAAGCTTCCCCATAGTCTTCAGAATAAAACCAAAACCTTTGATCTTAGTGATCTGGCCCCCTCCTTCCTTCCTCACAGCGTCCACTACCACCTGCCCTATGATCCAGCCGCACAGAGCCACTCTTGGCTACCTGATGACACCTTGCTTTTCCTCTGACTCCATGCCTTTGTCTGTGTTATGCCTACTCTCCTCCCCCCTGTGCACCCTTTTCCCACCTACTTAAAATACTCCGCTTCTGTGCTCTCACAGCATTTACGCATTCATCCCAGTACGCTATCATTTCCTGCTGACTTGTCTGTTTTTTTCCCACTAAACTGGGAGCTGCTTGAGGGCTGGGACTGTGCCTTAGTAATCTCTGTACTGCACAGGGCATGGCACCAGAGCCTGGTTAATTCCATGTTTGTTGAATGACTTACTGACTGGATGAATGGAGTGAATGAGGGAAGAAAAAGCCCTCACTTGGAAAGTTTAGTGACATGAGCTGTATGGTATCTGGTTCTTGGCCGAAGCTGCTGCAGTTTTTCCCTATGACTACAGTGCTGTAAAAATATGTCTGCACGTGGATAAAGACTGGAAGAGAACTTTCCACACAAAATTAAGAGTTGTGTTAGAGTGGTGAGTTGATGGATGCTTTTATTCCCCTGTTTTCAAAATGTTCTTTAGTACTGCTTTTCGAGTGTTTTGGCAATGTAGCAGAATTGTAGAATTGGAATCTGAGGCTTCCATGGAGGAACCGAAAACCAATATGTACTGATGCCCAGTGTACCCTCCTGGGTTCTGGGTGCTGTGGGGAGAGGGGTGGGGAGAGGCGACTCATTCTGAATCAGGTTTGCATGGCCAGGAGTCTTGCCAATTAGGTTGGATTTGCTGGAATAAAATGAGAACTTTCAAGAATTTTCCAAGCTCCTGGGTTGAGGTATTTTTTTTTCCTCCCAAAGCTGGGCAGCAAACAAAGATGACTTTTGTTTGCAGTAAAATACTCATTCCTTCTATTTTTTTTCCTGCAAAGTGACTTCTACAGTTTTGGGGGGCAGATTTGCTGAGTGGGGAAACTGACTGCCCATGTTTGGTTGGTTTAGAAATGACCAAAAATGTTTCACATTTCTGGCTCTTGAATAAAATGTTTAGGAATTTCATTGGCAAAATGATGAAATTGTTCCTTTGCTGCAGCAAGATTTCCAAAACTGCATATTGTGTGTTAACTCAGAAGATTCAGATGATGAATCCTCTGCTTTTATTGGGTGTTCACTCACTCCGACACTCAAGGCACTGTGTTCAGGACTTTGGAGATATCTCATTTAAAACTTGCAACAGCTTTCGGGGAAGGGACTGTCATTATACCCATGTTAGAGGTGGTGATACTGAGGTTCAAAGAGGTTCAGCTCCGAAATCATGAGACCAGGATTTGCAGCCTAGTTCAGCTGGCTGCACGAGTACAATCTAACCATTTGGCAACCCTGCCTTTAGGCTAGTCTGGCTTCAGAGGGACACAGGTATGTATTTATTTTTATTTAACAAACAATTGTTTAGTGTTTACCGTGTGCTAGGGACATGGTAATTGCTTTACAAACATTAGATCATTTAATCTTCATAGGCAACCCTGTGAGAAGGTACTATTATTAATACCATGTAACCGATGAGAAAATGGAGGGACAGGGAGGTTAAGTCACTGGCCTGGGGTTAGATAGCTTAACATGTGACAGAGCCAGAGTTATAATCCAGATGGATGCGTTCGGGGGTCTGGCTTGTAACCTTGACACTCTGCTGGATAGCATACTACCCCTCCCCCACCTCCTGTGCCTTGTCTACACAGCCCTGGCTCAGAAACACTGAAGACATGGGACTCTTTTTTTAGTTTTATAGAAGATTTGTACTTTTTGAAGTATTTTCCCCCAGTAAAGCCCTGTGTTCTGCTCCCAGGGGTCTTACAGGGTGGGGGAAGGGGCAAACACAAACCTCTGTCTTTCTATAGCAAGGCTAGCCTAGAAGCAAGGTTGCCAAGTGGTTAGAGCATATCTGTGGTGCTAGTTGAACTCAGCTTTGAATCCCGATCTCATGATTTCAGAGCTAAACCTCTCTGAGACTCAGTATCACCATCTCTGCTGAGGGAGAGGGAAGCTTTCTCCCAATACCTTCATTTACACCAATTTCCAGTGTTTTGCGAAGAGCCAGGTTTTCTCCAGAGCTAGGCACTGGGTGGCAAAGGGCTTTTGAAGTGTCACTTCTTTTCATTCAACAGAGACTTCAGGATAGCACCCTTCAAAGGCAGTCAGTTTGGGGTCACTAGGAGCAAAGAGAGTGCTCTTCCCTACCCGACTCGTGACACCTAGTCCCGTCTGTCCTTCCCTACCTCTTATCCCTCCCTGTTACCCTGCCTGACTCCCCAGAGCCAGGCCTAGACAATGGCGGCTGCTCAGCTCAGAGAAAGGGGGAGTGAAGAGGCAGCAGGCCCAACCCACCAGCTTGAAAGCTTCATTTGACAGGGGAGGAGGCACATCTGGTTTGGGTTTTCAATTCAATTCAACAATGATTTATTGTGGGCCTGCCAGCTGCAGAGGTTCTGGGCTAGCTAGGCAGTGAGAGATGCAAAGATAAGTAAAATATTGTCTGTGCCCTTACCGTGTTTTCTAGGTTGTAGGGGTGTGTAGATCCGAATGGACCATTTTAATGCGATGAGCCCCCTGCTGAATGGTTTACCTTGCATGCATTATGTATTTGCACCTTCCCAACAGGTTCTCCGATGGGGGTAGGTAAACTGTTATCACTTCATTTTACACATGAGGAAACTGGGCTTCTCAGAGAAGAAGTGACTGGCTCAAGGTCACATAGTTAAGAAGTGACCAAACCAGTCCCAGAACCTAGATGTGTCTGGTTCCCAAGTCCCCACTCTTAACCATTACATTCCCCTGCTTCCCAGAGACTGTGAGGGTGATAATGACAATTAACACTTTCTGAGCTCTGGAAGCCAAGTCTTGTGCTAAGTGGGCTGCAGATATTATTTCATTGGCAGTTTTTAACATGCCAGCGAAGCTGGTGTTGTTATCCCCTTTTGCAGAAGAGAAAACTGATGTTGCCTGGGGAAGTGATGGAGTTGGGATTTGAAACTAGGTTATACCAGCTCACCAGCCTTGAAGGGTGAGATGGGGTTTTGATAAGTAGAGTTGGGAGAGAGGGCCTCTCCGTCAGAAGGGAAATTCTGAGCAAAGGACCCAAAAAGATGGCTTGTAGAGCATTTTGATTGAGAGGCTGTAGGTTCATCCAGCATGCAGGCAGGGTACCCTGGGTGTAGAGGAGCAAAGGAAAGGAAATTGGGGATACCCCTGAGGGTCTGCCACATTTTTTGTCAAGTTGAAGTTCATATTTTTTAATTAAGAGCAGGTACTCCACCCAAAAGCCTTTTCAAAGGATACTGTCATGCAAATCATAAGCAAACACAAATGAGACTCTCACTGTGTACGTACTACGGTGCTGAGAGCCGTGGTGAATACAAAAGAAAACGACTCAATTCCTCAAGTGTGTGTTGAGAGCCCCCATGTGGCTGGGAAGACGAGATACACACATCGGGAAAAACAAGCAGACAGCGCAGCATTTGTGGTCAGGGCCAAATGAGTTTTCCCATCTGTCGGATTTCAAGGAACATGAAGATGGGGGTGGGTGGGAGGGGCTGCAAGAGGAGGCTTCACCAAGAAGGTGGGTTTGGGCTTTGAGGCATGGATGGAGAGGAAGGCAGGCACGCTTTAAGGCCAGGTGGGGTAACTGGTATTGCTGGCTTGAAGTGCTCTGGAGAGGCCTCCCTTCCCCAAACTGCCACTGTCACCATACCTGTCTTGAACTCTGGGAGTTGGTTAGGGAAGATGGGATTGTCTGTAGGGAAGACAGGCCATGGGAGCTGGGAAACAGAGCTGGGTACCTGATATTCCTATTCCTCCAATTTTCTACACTTAGCCTCAATTCCTGGCAGCTCCCCCAGCTGCTGAATTGTATGTGTATGTGTGAGCGGTATTTTAAATTAAGCAGTGAGTGCTTTCAGCTCATCATAAACATGCTAAAAAGCTTCAGCCACGGCCTGAGCCCACCCCCACCCCTTACACACAGGCAGCAGCTGGGGCCACTCGACCCCACACTCTAATGTGCAGTGCCTATGACTCACCAGCAGAAACGACTGCGTGTTTCAGTCTCCCTGGGTAGCTGATTCCTAGTTGTGGTGGGAAATCTCAGTCTGATTTAGAAGGCAAAAGGCCTCAGCCCCGCCCTCCTGGCTGAGCATTCTACAACATATGGAGCACCTACTATGTGCAAGGCATTGTGGGTAAGTCCATTCGTCTCTCTGGGCTTTCTATTTTCTCAGTTTCAAAATGCATGTAGTAATCCTGCCTGCTTTGCCTTTCTACCAGAGCTGTATTCTCAGCCACATTGGTCTTTCCATTTCTGGAACATTCCCAAAATCTTTTCCTGCCCCAAGGCCTTTGCACATGCTGCTTCTTCTGCCTGGACTGCCTTTGCTCTTGCTTTTGGCATAGGAGGCTTCTTCTTAACCTTTTAGTCACAGTTTAAATGCTACCTCTTGAGATGAGCCTGTTCTGACCACCTACAGTTAGTTCTATCCTGCCCCTCCCTAATATTCCTTTTATCAGCAATGCTTCCTTAATCCCACTTACCTCTCTGGGTAACTTTGTCTATTTATGGTATATTTCTCCCACTGGAATGTAAGCTGCAAGCAGACAGGGACCTTGTCTGTGTCACTCAGCAGTGTGTCCCTCTTATCTAGAGTAGTGCTTGGCACATAGTAGGCTGACATAAACAAAACCATCTGGGAAATATTGTCTCCCTGAGGTTTTTGCCAGACATATGGTTACTGAGGGAAAAATCATGGCAAAATTGTGTCATTCCATATGAAAAACAAAATTCAGGCAAAAAGGGAGGAGTTTGTTGAAAACAGTTCTGTTTTAGAAACCAGACCTTGGAGTCTCATCAGCAGACACAGTCTTATGAAATTAAACAAAAGGAATAAAAAGCATAAAAAGTTAACATTTTATTGGCTGCTTATTGTGTGCCAGGAACTGTTCTAAATGTTCTCTGCAGATTATCTCATTTAATCCTCATAATAGCCCAGTGACATAGGCTCTGTTATCGGCCCCATTTAACGGATGAGGGAATTGAGGCTCTGAGATGTTAAGCAAAGTGCCAAAGGTCACACTGCTAGGGAGAGGCAGAACCAAAAGCTGAACCCAAGGCAGTCTGAGTCGGAGTCCATGCACTAAATCAACAATGCCACCTGCAGCCCCCACCTCACACGACCCTGCAGCTCCCATGCCACCCCCGCAAGCATGCTTCTCTACAGCCCTGGTCATGATGCAGAGCAGGGGTTTGTTTGTTTGTCTGTCTTGCCCACTGGATTGGGAGTCTCTCAAGTGTAGGGACTGGGCCTTCTTCATTTTTGCTTCCCCCGTGCCTAGACTAGAGGTTGTTCCAGAGTAGGTACCAGTCAATATTTGTTGAATGAACAAATGAAGGAGTGAGTGAATTCATGTTCCTCTATTTTTTCAGGCTTATGGCTTATGGGCTCGTGCGTATTTCCCTGGTGAAGTGTAGCACTGGGGACAAGGGCATTCTGGTGCAAGAGCTCCTGCTCACCACAGGGCTAACTGGGAAAAACCTAAGCTGGGTTCTGTAGAGCAAGGCGCTTAATCCAAAGGGTTTCATTTTGTCTTCAATCTAAAAAGTAGCTGGACCTGTTTAGGACTTAAACAAACTTTCCGTGTTCCTCCAATCCCATCTCAGATCCTTTGCAGAATGAGGCAGGGTGTGGGGAGGCAGAGAAGGGGGAGTTATAAATAAACAAATACCCACAACCCGGCTGGTTTTTTAAACAGAATTTGTTTCAATCAGCGCTGCACCACATTTTCCCAACTGGCCTCCGTCATGAGAACAAGTGGGAACTTTCATACTGAATGGCTTTATTTTTTTTTTTTTCTGACCAGATGAATGGCAGGAGTTTTGGCTCGGGAGGCAGTTTGCTGCCCTACTGTGCCCCGTCCATCACACGCAGCGCCCTGCACAACATACCCAGTCATCACATCTGCTGCTTCAGCCCTTGGAAATAATTGGGTCATTGTTTTATTACACCAGTGAGGGAGCTGCAGGCCTGTTAGGATTATGTCATTGATATTTGCGTGAAAAGGCAATCATGATATGCTGGTCATTTAACACAGCTGGGAATGCAACTGTGTTGTCATTGTTTAAGGTTCACATCCAGCCCCTTTGACTTGGTTTCACAGCGTGGCCAGTGTAAATGGATCACTTTGATGTATGTCACCTTTAAAATGCTTTCTAGCCCTTCAAAGGACAAAAATGGGATCTAACTCTTTTCATGCACTTGGCCTTTTCTGCTTGCAGGCACAGCAGTCTGAAGGTGAGAGACGCTTGCTTTTCATGTGTGTGGGGGTTGTACACCCTAGCGGCAGGATGCTGTAATGCAGTGTCATTTGTTCACTAACTGCTGATCAGAGCCAAGGACAGCTTTGGCTCGAGAACAAACAAGAGCTAATGTCTGTGGGGGAGGACTATGTAGACAAGTCATGTGTCAGAGTTCTGTTGTGACTTCTGTTGTGTGCTAGTTTCAGTAGGACCTGTGCTTTCATTGCAGTTGTCAGTACTGTTCAAGTAGAGTTCTCTGCTAATGGAATTCAAGCATATTTGCATTTATTGATAGGTGTGTTAACAATGGTAGAACATCTTAGTTCCAAACAAGGAAATGATAGCATTGATTGCAGAAATGTAAATAGAGCTCAGATTCATGTGCCAATTTGTCTATTGCAACTCATTGATCCTCTTCTCCCACTGGCATGCCAAAGTTATATGGCATGTGGCCACTCAGGTACTCTTCAAAAGAATTTACTGCAGACACCTGTACATCCCTCTTCTGGTCCCAGTCCTTGCCAAACCAGCTCTGTACCCTTGCCAGCTACCTTGAAGTGTGACAGGCAGAGCTGACCCGATAAGGGAGTCAGCTGAAGGGATGGAGTGGCTTAGATGCAAATCTCCAAATCCCAATTGCCATGGCTAATAAAGAACTCCAGTTCCTGGATTTTTCTTGGCAACTGACTTCAACTGCTTTGCCTTCTGGGTGCTTTGGTATTTGTGTTATTCCCAGTTCTTGGTTTTGATCTGCCTTTTCCTTATAGCTGCAGTTTCCCTTTCTGGAAAATGGGGCTCTTGCTGGGATCAAATGAGAAAACATACCCAGACCTGGTGTAGTGCCTGGCACAGAGCAAGTGCTCAACAAATGGTAGCCGCTGTCTCTTTTTCATTGTCCAGGTTTCTTCTGGATCTGTTCTCTGTACCTCCAATATTGGTCCCGGACCCGGACCTATTCCCTCCCCTGACTGGCAAGTTAGGTCACTTGGCGCTCAGACAACCTAGACTCCCTTCTCTGGCAGCCTTCTGTTGTCTTTACCTGTCGCCATGTGGCACTCAGTGTCACCACAGGGGAGCTGTTGCCAGCTGCTGACGTTAACCTATTGAATTCTGGCAGAGAAGAATAAGTTTACAGACAGGAATTTGCATGTCTGGGCCAGATACAAGACCAGGAGGCAAAGCCATATTTACCTGCCCTTCCCAATTGTGAGTAAATCACCCAGATTCTGGTTAAAACCAGATGTTTCACACCCATGACTGCAATGCCACACATCAAACAGTTGCTTACAAGGAACATAGAGTGGTTTTCACATCAGAAATGTAACCTTCAGGTCAGTTCTCAAATTTCCTAAAAGCAGATACCACACCTGGGTAGTTTTCCTTTGAAAATGACAACCTTGTTGAGTGTCTTGTAGGGACTTTAATTTGGTAGCCCTGGACCACTTATATGCTCTTTCCAAGGGGGTCGCTGACTGCTTTAATTTGCAGGGAGTTACTATATTGGAGAAGATAAGAGATCTTCCCCAAACTCACCTGATCTTTGAAAATGCTACTCACTTGCCTTGGCACACAGCCAGACCAAACATTAAAAAAGAGACAGAGAATGCAGGAATCCTGAATACTGTTCTCAGTGCATGTCCAAACAAGAATGGGGTTGTGGGGGGGAAGAACAGAAAGAGGAGAAAAGAGAGTTTTTGCAACCTAGGCTATGAGCTGATCCCACTCCATCATATCTTGTAGCCCCCTCCACACACACACACACACACACACACACACACACACACACACACACACACACTCTCACTCACGCATAAAAGGAGAGGGGACATATGGTGGCATTGTGAGAACAGATTTCCCTGCCAGGGTCAATTGCTCAGTCTAAGAGGGTCTCCAGGGCCGAGAGTGAAGGATCGATCAGTCCAGTGAGGTCACCACCATGATCGGTTCTCAACCACTGTAACTCAGTTTTTCTGCTGTGGGCTTGTGGTTTATTAGTGTATTAGTTTCTAACCATTTGAGAGGAGGGTAGGACAGGAGCTAACATGATCGATTACTCCATAGGTGTCAGTTAATCACATTCTGAGGGACTCTCTCAGGTCCAGCAACTGCGTGGCTGTGATGTGAAAAGTGCCTTCTGTGCATTTGCTGGGAATGGTTCTGATAACCCTAATTTTCCAGTGTTTTCACTATTAGGTATTTCGTGGCAAGAGACAGGTGGTTAAGTGTTGAGCCAGTTCTTACTGGGAATTCTCTCTTTCTCCTTCAGGTCTCATGTAGATGCTAAAGGATCTCTAGAGTTTCCTTCAAGACATCTCACTAAAAATACACATTCATTAATTCATCAGATAGCCTTTTTTGAGTCCTTATTATGGGTGAGGTGCTGTGCTGTGGTATGCTTTATATACCATATCTTATTTCATCCTCATCACCAAGCCATGAGGTAGGTAGTGTCATAATCTTACAATGAGGAGACTAAGGCTCAGGGAGCATAATGCAAGACCACACAGTCAACAAGTGGTGAGCTGGGATTCAAAACCAGGTTTATCTGACTCAGTTACACTATACTTCCTCCACATACCATGTTTTAGGCCCTTCACAGCCCCTGAGAACACAATTCATCCTTAGGGAAATTTTCCTACTCCACTTTTTGCTAATAGTTACTGCTGCTGCTGCTGCTGCTGCTGCCATGACAACTACTGCTCCTCCCCCTCCTCTTACTATTTATTAATATTCAGCACTGCATTTTTTCCAGCGCTGGTAGATGCTTTTATACTAGCTACCAATTGTAGAGTTCACACCCAGGCCTGCATGAGTCCAATGCACTCATTCCACTTTTCTGTACTGCTTATAAAGAAACACTAGAGATGTGGGACATACACGACTTGAGTAGGT